ATATAGGGAAAGCATTGTTTAAGAACCTTCTCTTAGTACCCATGAACAGTAATATTTTACCTTTTTTTTTAAACAAAAAATTAAATAAATATGCGATTCAAAATAGGTGGCAGCCCTATTAAAAATATTTTTGAATTAGGGATCTTTAAAATACCTTCCATTTGATACCCATATTATGATGTTTTAATTAGTTTGTAACTAATTTCGAACAGGTGGCAACCTTATACGAGTCTTCTCCAAGATAATGCCTATTCCGATAACCTTAAAATCCAAAACATTATCGGTGTACAAAATTTCATCAAAATCGTTAGAGCCGTTTCCGAGAACCCTATGGATATATATATATACATATATATATATATGTATATACAAGAATTGCTGGTTTAATGTAATAAGATTGATCATGCATTAACCCATTGGCGACCCAGTTTTTTGTAATGTCTTATCTTAAGGTAATTTGATTTTATTATTATACAAATTATGAATAATTTAACCCATTGACGACTTTGACTTAACGCATTGATGACCATATTTTAACCCATTAGTGGCCAATTTTTTATAGTCTTTCTTTAGCTAATTTTATTAAAAATAGGTAGTTTAGGTTAAAATATAATCAGGGAGAACAAGTCCTTCCGATTCGAGAATAGATTTATCAATGAATTCGAAAATGTAATAACAGTAACAAGGTGTGTATTTATTGTAATCACTAGGAAAGAGCATGAAAGAGGGAAAGTCATTTATATAGAGATCAGTTAAATAGTAAAAGATAGGAAACAGATACAAAAATTTGCGTTTCAATGTAAAACATAAGGGTCTGATTATGCATACTTCGCATAACTTCGCACAACCATTTGTACCAGTGCACTAAAAGTGTAACTTAAGAAAATGTGAAGCAAAATCTAAACTCAACAGATCGCTAAGTTTTTAAAAGTTCTGCTAATTTCTGGGTAATGGAATACATAAAAATACATACAAAGTACATACGAAATTACAGTTTGAAGTTTATGCGAAGTCGTGCGAAGTTATGCGAAGTATGCATAATCAGACCATAATGGGTCAAAACAAAGTTAAAAGTAAAAATAATATAATTATTTATAGTTTCCTCTTTGATTGGACTATGAATATGCCCCATTATGTTTTAAATTTAAAGAGATTTACAAATTAAGCATACAAAATATCGAAAAGCAAGTAATGTATCTAAGTAAAACATTAGTTAATTAAAAAATCAGCTATTTATTTAATAATTAAAATTAAAAAAAAAAATAAAAATAGTCAAAACTGTTCAATATGTGGGTGTCGTATAGTTATGATAAGCACTATTAAAAGGATTTTGAATATGCAGTTTTGTAACCCATTTAATTGTAGTACATTAAAGTGCAAGTTTGAAGTAGCTAGGACTTGCGTTTTCCATACGAAGTATGTTCGACGATTTTTCCATATGGAGAAAATGAGCGACACCTTCACCAAAAAAATTGCCAAAAATCAACGGTACATCCTAGCCACACTGCCGGTAAAAATTATTGGCACAGCTGCTTTCTTACAATATATGCAACAATTTTTATTGCAATATTTTTCCGATAATTTTTTATAAAAATATGTTTCATTCCACGACAAAAAAACATAAACATATAATTTCTAAACTTTGTGCAAAACTCGCGAAAATTCAGCAAATTTTCATCCAAATTTTCAACTTTTTAATCAGATTTTTTAGAATTTTTTTTGAGTATGTAGATTTGTAGCCCATTAAATTCTAGTAACAAAAATGCAAGTCCGGAGTTAGTCGAAAATTGCATTGATATTTGAGAATTTTTTGTTGAAGTATATAAAGTATTTTCGAAAAAATTTTGTTGTATGGAAGAGACTGCGGGGAAAAATAGGCAAAATTCAACGGTAATTCGTAGCTACTTACACTGAGGGAAATAATGCATAGTAAAAATGAATACTTTATATTTGATTATCGTTTAAAAATGTTCGTATTTAAAAATAATATTTTCATACAAAATATATTACGCACGTATTTGACTGTTCACATCTGAGTATGTATATGTAAGTGTACATACCCTGCACGTATGCTGCGTATACGCACTCCAAGCATGCAGAGCGCCGCTCTGAGAGCGCGGTGACAACACACACATACATACATAGTACATACATGTTTATCCGTACAAATCGCGTGCTGTGGTGTTGATGGATATTCAACAGTTGATAGCAGATTTACATATATGCCTGGGTGCGCAAAGATGCTTGCTACAAGTCGTTGATATCCGGAGATGGTCGGGTTCGAATTCCACCGAAGGCAACATGTAAATAAATTTTTTTTTTTTTCGTTTTTGTCTTGATTATTCACTTCACGGATGCTTTTTCAGTACGAACGCGGTCATTTTAATATGCGCGTAATTGAATTGAATATTTACCAATATACAGTACTTTCGTTGACGTTTATAGTAAGATTAATTACGTTTCTATTTGATTTTAATATTTTTTCCCCTCAGTGTAGAACTTCTACGTTATTACAATAAATTGATTGGGCTACTCATCTGCATACTCGAATGAAAAAAGACTGTTTAAAAAGTTGAAAATTTGCATGAGAATTCGCTGAATTTTCGCGAGTTTTGCACAAAGTTTAGAATATATTTTTATGTTTTTGTTGTGGAATGAACCATATCTTTATACAAAAATTTCGGAAAAATATTTCAACAAAATTTTTTTGCATATATTGTAAAAAAGCATCTGTGCCAATAAATTTACTGGCACTTTAATGTACTAAAATTGAATGTGCTACAAAAATACGTACTCAAAATCTTTTTTAAATATCTAATTAAAAATATCGATATTTTACTAAGTTGGAAACTTAGATTTGTTCGACTTTTGTTAAGGAATAAACTATGTTTTTATGAAAAAAAATAATTAAAAATAAATAATAATAAAAAATCAATACTTGGGTGTCTTATAGTTATGATAAGCACTATATAATGAAAACTGTGACACTTATTCCTCACAGTCGGAATCTAAATCCCATCCCAGCCACGTTAAACTAATATTATTCGCTTCAAGTTCTACTAACTCCATTACTTCAGCAAAGAAAGATCTCCGGTTTGTGACCAATGGCAACAAGGGCGAGCAAGTATTCAGATGATCTAATGAAACTAACAATCTATTAAAAACGTCTTCTAAATTGTCAGCGCGACTCGTTTGTCTACCAGGGATGATAAATGAGCTTTTAATTTTTGTACCAAAAGGACAAAAAGAATGTACTAAATCAGCCGAAAAAGTACTAAAATTTAAAAGACCATACATACATATGTATATGTAATTTCCAAACAAAGTCTACATGTCAGGTATTTTTTATATATTTTTTAGATTGAAAATTCTATCCTCTCGTTTACTGACGTGAATACGAAGCTGCTTTCCGGCTCTTCAAAAATTAATTTTGGTTCTTTTTTCTGCATTTTTGCACTTTAGAACTCATTTATCAGATAAGCTAATGTTGAAGTTTCTTCCACCTTCTTCATGACATTAACGTGACGTTTTTCTTGGGAGGCAGGCTTTTTGTTTAATCTTTCTTCGGCAACAACTTCCCATATATGCTATTTGAACACTTTTGAAGAAACAAGCGATTGAAATAAAAAATCCTTTTCCACCTTTGACACTTTGGAAATATTTCACATTGTTTGTTTTTTTTTTTACTTCTAAAATATAAAATCAAGGAAATCATTGAAACCCCTGAAGCAATAAATAGCCATTGGTAATTATCTGTTTTTTGCCTTGTACTCTTCAGAAACAAACTTTAGCAAACCATAGTAGAAAGCATAGCGAATTTAGTAAGAACTTCGTACTGTATAAGAAAATTTGGATCGATAAATTTTTCTTGACCATTTCAAACTAAAGAAATGTTTACAAATAATAACATAAAAACAGGTTTGGTTTTTATTAACCCGTATCTTCAATTGCATTTCTGCTTGGATACAAAAATTTAAAATCAATGGTTTATCTATCACTACGGGAAGGCATTGGTGTTAGATATTGAAGATATTGAAAACAGTTTATTTCAAATGGAGAAAAACGAATATTAAAAAATAATAAAACCACCAGCGAAGATCTCTATTATTGAAGAATATCAAGCAACACTTCATTGTCCATTTTAATTTTTCAATACTTGAAATAAACTGAATAAAAAACAAAACATTAAACTGTACTAAAATTTTGTAGTTTTGCGAGCATATTTGCAAGCATATTTACCAATGTTTTAGTGCTTATCTAAGGGCTTGACATGGATTTTTTCGTGCTTATTTTCTTCGGCCCTGCTTATATTATAACAGCAACTGTTTGATGATTTTAAAAAGTCCTCCATTTTTAATAAACACTACGTATTTACTTGTATAAAATAGAAAAAGGATGACTATATTTTTATCCCCAAGTGGTATTTCGACATAATTTGTCGTAATGCTGTATTTTGACAAAATTGTATCAAAAATGTCGAAGTAGTACCTATGTACTTTTTGGATCCGAAATGTACCAAAAAAGTACAATTGTACCATCAATTTCATCACTGTTCCCTACTATAGATCTCTCTAAAGTTTTTAAAGTCCTGGTTCGAACTAAACCCGCTTCTCGCTAAAGATTTTAAAGTCCAGAACTCTCATATATCGTTACCTTAATATAGAAAGGCCCTAACTCATATAGTCGCTGAAATGCAAAGAAGCCGTAACTAACTAAAAACTTGTATTGCTTAAAATGATGTGGGGACTTAGAATTCGATGAAATGCTTCATAATCAATCAAAAGGGAATTTTGAATTTTTTCTTATTTAGTTACGGATTTTTGTATTTCAGTGACTATATGAATTAGGGCCTTTATATATTAAGGTAACGATATGTATATACTACTTTTACATCGCATGAGATGACCGATCTTTGCCTTCATTGGTCAATTGTATGAGAAAAATTCAATGATACATACTTGAAACCCGTTATTAGTAATAGTATTGCAGTAAATACAAACCTTACACAATTCCAAAAGGCTAAACAAGTCTTCAACCTCATCATCGTCAGTAGGCACATAATGTTTCCCAGTTTGTGTACTTATCCCCTTTGTTTCTCGCCTGTAAAGCGGCAAACCCATCGCTTTCGCCAAACTCTCAATGCCCATGTGCCCGACGGTCTGATACATAAAGCTGTCAAGTTCATCTGAAATACAAACACAGAGATACAAAGGAAAGTTTGTATATAATATAATATGTATTAATAAAATCATAAAGAATTTGTTTGGCATAAATTAAGAGCGGCTTAAACTGGCTAAGTATTGTTCAGATAAGAATATTCTAAATATATATGTATGTATATTAGGGTGCCCATTAAATTTTTTTTTTTTAAATTTCCCGCAGCAATGTCCTTCCTTTTTATGGGAAATATTATTGCCTATCAGAGCTGGGTCGTAATGATTCCTTTAGGAATTAAAATACTCCCAATTATAAATTACAAGGAATTGTAATTAGGAATCAACTCCTTCAGTCCACTGCAATGGAATGGTTGTCGCCTGTTTGCAAATTTAACTCAATTAAATTGACAAAATAAATGAAATATTACAGTATGGGTACAAAACGAAAGGTATTTGAGAAATCTTGATTTGAAAATATTTTCAATAGGATTATCAACTATCTTAATATTACGTTCTCATTGAGCCACACACTCGAGTTTATGGGACATTTTGGAGTTTAACGCTAAACTCTACTCTTAAACGCAGAGTTTACCATACAAAAAAAAAGTAAGTACGTCAAACTTACGTTACATATCTAGTTTGTCTCATAACCAATATTACGTCGAGGTGGCACAGAAAAATATTTATTTTGGTTATCCCATTTCACCGTTTTCCTACTTCACAAATTTAATTATGAATGACACTGGTCTACAAATTTCAACTTTTTTTCTGCGAATAAGACGGGACCTGGTGTTTCTGAACAGATTTTTCGTGCTGAACACGAATCCGGGGTCAAAAATGTCCCATCACGTCACGTTTTCGAGAAAAAA